TTATGTATGATGTTATCTACAATCTGACAACTGCAACAATACAGACTTGAAATCTCAAACAGTCTGTTAATCATCATCTATGCCATGAATGTTTAAATAGAATATATATTTAATATGAAAAAGCTAAAGCACAAGTGCTTTCTCCCACCCCTAAATTCTGTTTTGGGCCCTCACAGTTTTCGGAATGCATTCTTATCCACCCTTTTTCACAAAGTCAGGAGAGCTCAGGAAATATAAAGTCAAAAATATACAAATCTTTTGTTGTTATTATAATAAGATTTTTTTTCCCATGAATGAAATTATCAAGGACCGTGAACTTGGAAAATGAAAATCAAGAGGAATTTACAGCAATTATTTATCTTCAAAGTTCAAAACTGGTCACTTCACAGAAAGACTTCAGGGTTTGTTGAAATTTTTCTTCTAAAAAGTCATTCTGTAGTGGAGTTTTCTAAGAAAAATAAAACAACTTTCAATAATTGGCCCGCTGGTGTGAGAGCTACCGTGGAATAAATTAGCATAAAAATGAGGTGGGGGAAGTCTTATAACTGTTCACTGTTACAGACATAATCAACAAGATCAGTCACTCTCAAAAGCTCATCTTCCTCCTCTTCTGGAGCTCCAGCCTCCTGCCCACCACTTGTCCCATTGGCAGCCAGGCTCACACTAGCTGTGCTATTGTCCTTGGGAGTCTGGGCTTTTCAGCTGGTTTGCCAATCAAGTATTTCTGTTTACAGAAACTTATGCCTTAGACCTGCCCCCATACAAATGCTATATATACTAAGATATTCACTGAAGTGTTGATAGTGATGGGTAAAACGAAATTTCCTCAGTGTTCCTTAACAGAAGACGAGGTTAAATCAACTAGAAAATATGCCCAAAGATTGGGATACTAACAGACAAACAAAACAAGAGTGAGTGTGCTCTATTTGAACTTATATGGGAAGTTAAAAAGAAAAGAACATTTGTATATATATATAATTTTTTCTCTCTGTGAAATAAAATATGTATGTGTTAAGAGCTCTGGTGATGGTGAGCTCTGGTGGCCTAGTGGCAAGAAGCTGCAACTGCAAGCTCAGAGGTGCACAGTTCAAATCCACCAGATGCTCTGCTAGAGAAGGAGGAGCAATCTCCTCCTGTATCAGTCAGATCTGATTTGACAGTACACACAAAAAATAATGAAATAAAAAAAGAGCTCTGGTGGTGTAGTATGTAGCATGTTGTGCTGCTAACTAAAAGGCTACATGACTCTAAGTGGTTTGAATAATTCGTGGAGCTTTAGGAGAAAGATAGTCTCATCCTGTTAAGATTTACAGCCCGAGATACCCAGTGGAGGGTCATTTTTGAGTAAGGACCAACTCAGTGGCACTGAGTTTGAACTTTTTAAAAGAATTTACCTGTCTATATATACACATATGTGCATACATATATAACATAGATAGATAGACAGGCAGGCAGACAGAGGATGCCCTGGTGGAGTTGTGCTACCAATGCAGAGAGAGGTACGTGGCTTGAATCCACCAGCTGCTCTGAGCGAGAAGAATGGGCAGTCTCCTCCCATGTGATTTACTGCCTCTGAAAATCTGCTGGGAGGTCAGCTATGGGTGAGTTCTGACTCAAAGGTATACAGTAACAAATAAAGATATAGATAGATACCAGTATAAAAGTATATAGAAGGATATATGAGACACTAATTTACCATTTGCCTCAGGGGAGGAGAGCTAGTGACTGGGGACAGGGTGAGAGGGTGACATGCTTCTCACTGTACTTCTGTTCCTTTTGGATTTGTGGCGTATGTTTGTATTATCTATTCAAACTGTAATATTTTAAAGATAAACAAATACCAAGGTTTTTACCCCATAAACCTGCACTGCCATAATGGCAAACTGATTAGATTCAGGAATCGCATTATCATAAGTTAGAAGGCCGTCTTATCTTTCAACCAAATTCTAGTTCAGTTATTGTTGAGATTCTCAGATTTAGTGTTTCCCTTTTAGAAGATTCCGTATTATGAATGGCATTTTGGCTTCTCAGCTATGTTAGAGTCCAAAGAACCCAGAATGCAGCTGAATTCCAGGCCTGCCAATGAATCACCAGCTCCAGCACTGTGGGAGACCACTCCACTCCTGGCTTCTATTCAGGGAGCAGAGTTCACCTTCGCTGCCGACCTCCCTATAAGACTTTCCCTTTCCCCAACAGGGGACAGAGGCCGGGAATGTGAGTGCCTAACATGTGGAGTGATCCTTGGGTTTCAGCGGAGTAGGAGAGGGGTGGGTGTGTGTTTGTGTTGCCATGCTGGTTCAGCTTTTGGTTTAGCAGCTTTGGGTATCTTTGCTTGATGTCTGTAAGTCTCTAGGCCCATATCTGTAAGTATGAATAAGAACATTTTGCTCATAGAGTTAAGTTATAAGTACATAATATACTTAAACTGGTACCTTGGATACTGTAAGTGAGCAAGTTTTCTATGAGTTTTTAAAATTTCGCTTCTAATTTTTAAAATTAGTTTAGTCAGTTTCTCTGCAATTTTTGCAGGAAAGAATTGGTTAACTTTCCTAATAATATGGCTTTAGTATTTTTCACAGTTTTTGTTTTTCATTTGTAAAGAGATAAAGTTAAAGCCCCTGTCTGGCACTAGACCAGTAACTTGGAATTTGCCCTAACATGCAAGAGGTTGAAGACAACTGAAAAAGAGACTGGCAACTCCCCAATAGTAATACCAGAGTTTTATTGAGGGATTACTTAACTGGAGCATAGCTCTAGGTGGAGACAGGGCCAGCCTTGACTCTCCTCACCACCCCCAGAGGGAGGCAGAGGACTTTGTAGCTCTGGCAAACAAAGGCGGCATGGTGCCAGGACCTCGGATCTCCAAGGCCATCCTAACAGGCATTACAAGAAAGGGACTTTTAGACTCATTGTCATCGAGCTGGAACTGACTGATAGCAGACCCTATATTGGGTTTCCAAAGCTGTGAATCACACGGAAAGAGACAATAATTTTACTCCCTTTGAGTTGCTGGTGGGTTTGAACCACCAGAGGCTCAGCCTTTGGGTTAGCAATACCCTAAGGGCTACGCCACTTAACAAGTTAACTTCAAACAAGAGTGTAGCCATCTATATCCAGCTTCCCAAAAGTCCGTCCTCCTTCACCACAGGCTTCAGAAGCTCTTTTTGTAACCTTTCCTCATCCTTCTCTCCTCCCCTGTTCCAGTGGTAACCACTACTCTGTAGATGATGTGTCCTAGTAAAAGTAGACTAAACTTTCTCTGGGGTTTGCAGGAAGATAGTCATTCTCACATGTTCTTTCCCTGTCCCACTCTGTCTTGATCAGGTGGTGAGCTATGCCCCGTTCACACTCTTCCCCTCACTGGTCCCCAGTGTCCTGTTGGAGCAGGCCTATGCTGTGCAGATGGACTTCAACGTGCTTGTGGATGCCGTCAGCCAGAATGCTTCCTTCCTGGAGCAAACTCTCTCCAGGTACCAGGCAGTGGGGCTCAGCCCTAGGAGATGCGAGAGAGAAGGGACTGACTGTTGCTATTGCAGCTGACATAGGGGTGGAGGATGTGAGAGAGGGAAGATTGGGGGGAAAGCAGTGAATTAAGAATTAAGAGAGCAGGCTTCTAATCCTGGCTTTATTCCCTTTATTCTCTTCATCTGTAAAATGGGAAGACTAAATCTGGGGTCCCTTCCAGTGCTGACGTTCTGTGATTTGTGACCCTCTGCATCTAACACAGGGATTGCCATCAGAAATTAGAAAGTCTAGCTTGAGATGTTCTCTAATTTCAAAGAGAAAACAAAAAGCAGGAAAAGTTATTGGGTTTAAATTCAGATGTCATACATCTTGTCCAGAGTGACCCATTCTTGCCTCAGCAAGCTTTTCATCTTTGAGTGCAGACTGGGCCACTCCCAGAACAGGAGGAAGCAAAACCCTTGGACTGAATCGTCGCCTCCATTCATCCGCTGGGTCCCTTCACCCTTGATCTTTATTTTCCCCCGACTCGTTCATCTCATGGAGCAAGTGAAATGTCTTTGCATTAGTCAAGAATCTTATTTTGACACTCTGGTGGTTGCATGTTTTTGATTAATTCTTCAAACAAAACAAATTATTGTGCTAGAGAAAATCTTTTGAAAATGTTTCTCTTGGTGCAAGGTTAGGTATGAAAAGGAATCATTCTAGTGAACAGTTTGAGAACCACTGGTAGGTAATATTTCCATTGGTCATGAATGTGTGATGCCTACCACTACCTTCTTTTCAAATCTATCTGAGACAGAGTCTGAGTTTTATGCCTCCAGTTCAAGGTTATGGACAGTTTGAATTGCCTGGCTTATGCCCTTTTTCTGAACAATGGTCTTATATGGCATGATCATCCGTGAAGTCCATCTTTATAACCCCATTATTCCTTGTTCCTCCTTCCTCTTGCATATACATGGAGCTCTCAAGGGAGAAGGGACCCAGGAGCACATGTAGCCTAAATCTGAGGCTGGAAAGCATCCTCCTCATAAAAGGGAATATTTCAACAGACTGAAGGCTGAAGCTTAGCTGTGGACTATTCTCTCCCTCTTCAATACCTGGGAAGAACCCTCTGAAAGAGTGGGCTGGGAAGCAGAGAAACTTTCAAGCAGGACAGATGTGGGGCTCCCTTTGCTGGGCCGCAGTGGGTGGGGTAGGTTCCTGTAAAAGACAAGCCTACAGCTGAGGCTTGAGCAGCCACGTAGGGTCCATCCTGACTCTTGAGAGGCAGCGAGTGTGGAGTTGGTGGCCTATGGGCCTCTTCTCACCGTTCCCACCTTCCTGAGGCTTCACAGAAGCCCACTGGGTGGGCCCCTACCACATACTGTATGTCATAGCAGCACACTGGGCCATTTGTGATAATGAACCAGTACATGGGCCTGCCCTCACATGTAGTCAGACTGGAGAGAGAGAGCACTTACCATCCGTCAGTCACACAAACAAAATGCAAAACTGTAATTGTTCAGTGCTATAAAGGTCTTCAGAGCAGCGAAACACAACGCTGTGCTCTGCTCTTGGCTGCGTGGGTGAACGGTTCCGTAAGAAAAGTACATCATGAGGAATGGTTAGAAACAAAGCAGGATGTTTAGATGGGTCAGCAAAATCCTACAGGACACGAGCTATCTTCTCATCTCTAAGGGCTCACATGCTATTGAACAACAGATCTGATCCTTACCTATCCTGTACTAGCCTCACTATCTCTGTATACCTGAGCCCATTCTTACAGTCTGTGTCAAGACAGCTTGTGGAAGGCCTGTTTTTGGATGCTGTTGAGTCAGAACTGACTCATAGCCGACCTTCCAGTGGGTTTTCAGAGGCCGTAAATCACCTGAGAGGAGATTGCTCATCTTTCTCCAACAGAGCAACCAACTGGTAGATTTGAACTGCGTGCCTTGGGAGTGGAAGCATAATTCCTTGCTACTAAGTTACTAGGATGAGAAATCTTTTCCTGAGAGGTCCCAGAGTATAGCAGAAGCTACAGGGAGTTAAGTGTTATGTCAGCTAGGAAGTTTCCCAACCATCTGAACTACTGAAATATGAGATACTGAAGAATCTCATGTCATTTTTCAGTTCTTGAGATTAAATACTAGGGAGCTCTGGTGGCCTACTGGCAGGAAGCGGCACTGCAGTCCCAGAAGTGCATGGTTCAAATCCATGAGATGCTCTGCTGGAGAAGGAGGGACTATCTCCTCCTGTACCAGTCAGATCCAGTTTGACGGTACACACGCACACACACACACACACGAGATTAAATACTGTGCTTAATTCTTTTCATGTAATACCACATTTAACCTTGATTATGATTCTATGATAGAAATCCAATTATGTTCCTCTTCAATTTACCTGCGAACAGAATGAGAGGTGGAAGTGGTTCAGAAACTTCCTGGTAGTGAGTGGTAGAGCTGAGATCTGAACCTTGATCATCTGGCTCTCAAGCCGGGTACTCATCACTGTTTTCTGCCATGCCTGAGGGGTAGTAGTGAGTGGGTAGGAGGTGTTCATGTCTTGTCTGGGAGATGCAGAGAGAATTCTAGAGTTAGTGGACAGGGTGGGACCCTCCTCTAACCTTTAAAATCCCATGTAACTTGGACAATATTATCTTTTTCCTCCTCCAGCACCATCAAAAGGGATGAATTTACTGCTCGTCTCTTTGACATCTACAAGCAAGTCCTGAAAGAGGGCATGGCCCAGGTAATCTTTCCCTTTCCCACCCCAAAGTGGGTCTTGTCCCTCCCATTTCTGATTTTTCATCAGAACTTGGCCCAGACCCTGAGCTTATGGGAGTCCGCTGCTTGCTGGATCCCACTGGGTTTGTATGTAATAGATCAGTCCTGGGGTAACCAGAAGAATGATTCCCTCTGGGCTTGGGAGTATTCGCTAGTGCTTCAATCCCCTGTATAGCACTCACAGTTACTCAGTGACCCGGTGCCTAGAGTCACCGCAGGGTCAATGCCCTCAGCCCTAAGTTTTCCCCCCACAGACTGTGTTCCTGGGCCTGAACCGCTCAGACTACATGTTCCAGCGCAGCGCAGATGGCTCCCCAGCCCTGAAACAGATTGAAATCAACACCATCTCTGCCAGCTTTGGGGGCCTGACCTCCCGGACCCCAGCTGTGCACCGGTGGGTCCCTTGGGCAACCCTGGGCACTGGGGTAATCACAAGCTGGGCCAGGAGTCTCCAACTCTTACTATGTGTTTCTGTGTCCCACATCATGTGTCCTCTCCCTCAGTCCACATTCTCCCCTCCTCTAAAGTTTGTAATTATGCCTTGACCGTGTCTAGAAGAGCTGGGACCTCAGGGCTCATCTAGTCCTGCTCCTTTCATTGAAGGTGTTATCATTCTGGGATCTATGAAGGCCCTGAGATAAGAAAGAGCTTGACGTGTTTGAGGATCTGAAAGGAGGCCAGCACCCAAGCAAGACGGGATGTGGGGCCTCCCCATCAGAGGTTGAACTCTAATTGTGTCTATTTCTGGCCAGTAATGACATACCAGGTCGTTATGACCTGTGATGGTCTGTGGCACGATTTCAGAGAGCACCCAGGGGCCCAGGGTAAGGGGGATCCAGCTCGTTGGGAGGCTGGAGTCGAGTCAAGTCACAGGATCAGGGCCCATCTCGTGGGCACCCGGCACCAGGGTTAGGTCAGCCCTGCACGTTCCAGCCAGAAGAGAATTGTATAGGAGCATCAAGGTGAGATATTTTCTGTGCTCATGTGAGTCTCACAGTCATGTTCCTGTGTCTCCAAGGTCACAGGCAGGAGGCCTTCCAGGTCTGGCTTTCTGGGTCTGGCAGTTACTGAACCAGTCATCTCTCTTCCGACAGACATGTTCTCAGTGTCCTGAGCAAAACCAAAGAAGCTGCCAAGATCCTGTCCAACAATCCCAGCAAGGGACTGGCCCTGGGGATTGCCAAGGCCTGGGAGCTCTACGGCTCAGCCAAGTAAGTGGGCACCAACGGGGCTGCAGTGCCCTGCTAGAGATGCAGCAGGTGGGGGTGCAGCAACTTCTTGTTTTGCTCATTATCCTTAGGGAATGAAGAGATTTTTCTAAGAATGGAAACTTACCTGTTCAAACACCTAAATTATTTTAATGGGGTTTTTAGCTTCTTTCTTAAGTATCAGATGCTGGCTGTAATTGAACATTTTCTTACTGGCTGGGGCCGCCTTTATGATTGTTAGCGGTTGTAGGTCACTGTGATATAAAGAGGCAAGGAAGACTGTTTTGCCTGCATTAATGGCTCATGAATCTAGGCTTAAGGTCTTCATTTCAGCCATGGTTTTTCTGTTTCCCAGCTGACAGCTCTTGCTTCTTACTGCTCCGAGAGTGCCACAGTTTGGGACCTTCTACTCCCACCAGTGCTTTCTTTCTGATTGGCAAGAAACCAAATGACCAGGATTGTTATGATTGTATCTAGAGGGTGTGAGGGCCTCTTTAATGAATAAATGTATATGAGCTTTGGCTTAGGCTACAGCTTTTATGGTATTGGTCTTAACTACTTAGGGAGCCCCTGTAACACACTGGTCAAAGCATGAAACTGCTAACCAAAAAGTTAGCAATTCAGAACCACCAGTTGCTATATAAGATAAAGATGTGGCAATCTGTTTCCATAAAAATGACAGCTTTGGAAGCCCAATTAGATAAATGATGGGTCACTACTAAAAGTGACTACACTGTTAGCAAAACCCTAAGTTAACATTTAGGAAGCTCTGGGGCCTGATCTGGAGGGAATTGGCTGCCCAAAGACTACATCTCTCTGGCGGTTTGAATCCACCAGCTGCTCCCGGAGAGAAAGAAAGCCAACCTCCTCCTGTCTGTTTACAGCCTCTGAAAACCCACTGGAGGGTCAGCTATGAGTTGGTCCTGACTAGGCAATGAGTGAGTCTGATGAATTAACACTTAGTGAAGAGATTTTATTAGCACCTCATGCTAAAGACAAAACTATATAAGATTTTACTGAATCTTCATAGTGAATGTTCTGAGGAAGGTACTGATATTAATCTTCCCCATTTTACAGATGAAACTGAGGTTCAGACACGTGAAAGGACTTGAATAAAGTCAAGCAATGAGTGGATAGCAGAGCTTGGCGTCCACATTGCTTGTTTTTTTAATTGTGGTAAAATAGATACAACATGAAATTTGCCACTTCTTTTCTTTTCTTTTTTTTTTATTTTTTTGCCACTTATTTTCAAGTGCACAGTCTAATAGAAATATTTTTAATCACTCTAGTTTATTGCCTCCAAGACAGCCTCTCTGGGCTTGCTAAGCCTCATGAAAACCAAAGAAACCTCAGGCTGACAGTTCCAAACCACCTGACAGTCTGTCAAGGAGAACTCTTGGCTTGGTTGGGTTTTTAAGAACTGATGCCAGGGGATGGGTCAGTCAGAGAACTGCTGACGGACAAATGCTGCAGATGGTTTCTCCCTCCAGTCAAACTGTGAAGTAAATGAAAAGATTTGTGTGCTTAGAGTTTGACAATAGTAGGCAGAGCCCTGGGCGGAGACTGCTTTCACCAATATTGAGGAGCAGAGAGACTCATCTGCTGACCCAGCACAGAGAGGCTGGGTAACTTGCTCCCCAAACCCTACAGCTAGTAAGTTTAGAATTCATATCTGGCTACCTACAAAGTTTTTGTTCTCTAGTATTCTTGTGTATACTATTAGTATACTAGTAGGGTAGTATACTATTCTTCCTCCAAGAGGTATGATCCCTTAGTATAGATTGGAAAACTTAGGTGCAAGCATTTGTAGAACAACTATATTTCCATCGATTTTCTCATACTCTTTAAGAAAATATGTAAAGGAAGAGTGGAAACAAAAGCTTCAGGTTTGAGGTTTGGATAGGCAGGAATGAAAAGGGATTTAGATGCTAAAAAATTGGGAATTATTTTGTATAAAATCAGGACCCAAAGGAGGAAGCTGACTTGCCCAAGGACACATCAGGGGCCACTGGCAGAGCCAGTAAACTCAGGAGCCCTCACTCCTAGTCTAACATGCTACTCCTACTGCATCTTCATTTCTAGATCCACTTCAACAGAATGCCGCAATCTTAAGGCAGGCCGAGGTAGAATATGTTTTCGAGGTCTGGTTGGAAGTGTTTTGGCAGGTAGCAGGCTGATTTAATTAGCCAGGGCAAGAGGTTCTACTTTAACCTGAGGCCTCCCTCTGCTGCCTCTTCTTGGCAGTGGGCCAGCCTGGGCCAGGTGCCACCCACCACACCCACTACACATATTCCCACCCAAAAGCCAAGCAAATCAGGCTAAGGTTAAGAGAAAGGGCATTGACTCTGGGGACTCTTAGGAGAAGGTGGCTTGGGAGAGCACCATTCTCTAGCTTGTCTTTCAGATACCAAGGTCCAAACAGGGAAAGACTCAGTTTCATATTGGTTCTGCCCTTTATGAGATAAGAGAAAGGCTGCGAAAGGGAGTGTGCCAGGAGCTACATTTTGACTGAGCGGAAGAGAGAATTCAGTCTAAGGGGTCTAGCTGAGGTAAGGAGACACAAAAGTAGCAAACAGGTAAGTGGACATGTGCAGAAAGTGAGGAATCCACACTAGAGTCCTGAGCCTCCAGGAATCTCCGCAGGAGGCCTTGGGCACAGAACAGCACTGCTGCAGAGGAAATGGAATTCCCTGTTACTGAGCAATGGCCATAAGTAAGTCTGGTGGGGGATGGACCTGTCTGTTAACTGCAAGTAGCCTGGCCAGGAGCCTACAGATGGTTCTTTGTCATAAACTTTCCTCTGAGTTCTTGGACTCTTGTTTCGTTAAGAAACATATGGTCAAGTTGAGAAGAGGCCAGGTAAGCCCCAGAGATCCCATTCATGGTATGGAGCCAAACCTGGCCCTGGGTACATCCCAGAAATGTTGGGAATCTCAGAAGGTACTGTCTTATTTATTTGTGTTCATCCAGGCTTTCTTTAGGCTTCTATTGAGCTATTCTAATGGTTCATGCAAGAACCATGCTTTTTTAAAAATGAATATGTTTTATAATCTAGTAACAGAGACTTCTGGTGGCCAAGTAAGTAAGTAAGTAAAAAGCTGCTCTGCAAACTCAAAGGCATGTGTTTGGGATCCACCAGCTACTCCCTGGGAGAAGGATGGGTAATCTCCTCCCATGAAACTTACTGCCTCTCAAAACTTGACAGAGGGTCAGGCATGGGTCAGTTCTGACTCCACAGCACCTAACAAAAATAGGGTCATTAAGCTCCAACACCTCAATCTTGTTGTTGTACAAAACATTCTTCAATACAACTGCTGCTTCTAGGCAAATTTTACAATCATGTTAAATTCCAAGAAAAATATCCCCTTGGTTTTTTAAGATGGTTTTAAATCTAAAATTGTATTTATACCAAAAACCTACATTGTGATAATATTTACTCACTGGAGAAAGAACAGGATGGCTCTATTGTCTTAGTTTTGGAGAAACAGCATGTCATGGCCTCAGGTCTCTATGCCTGAGGCAGTTGTGTGGTGAGGAAAGGTCTGTTCCTCTTCTCATTCTTGCAGGGTGAGGGGTACAAGGAAGCCAAGCTCGGTACCAGCCTTGGGCCACTCACTTATGTTCTTTCCCCAGTGCCCTGGTGCTGCTAATTGCCCAAGAAAAGGAAAGGAACGTGTTTGATCAGCGTGCCATAGAGAATGAGCTGCTGGCCAGGTCAGTAAGGGTGGGAGGCTCCAGATGGGACCCCAGAGTTGGGGAGGGCACTCGGAAAAGAGCATCTGCTCACTCTGACCCTTGCCTACTTTCTCCAGGGACATCCATGTAATCCGGCGACGATTTGAAGATGTCTCTGAAAAGGGATCTCTGGACCAAGACCGGAGACTGTTTATGTAAGTGGCTGGGGTGCCCTTCCCAAGTACCACAGATCGCTGAGTTATAAATTTCATCCTGCCTTCCTTGTCCCTCAAATGGACGTTTCTCCTTCTTGCTTAATTTCAGATGTGAATTCTGAAATATTCTATCCTCCCTGAAATTTTGGGGGAGCCCGGTCAATCTCTGCTTTTTAAGGGCTGTATCAGAGCTGTTGGCATAACTGGATAGGGACATTCTTTTTCTTACAAAAGCAACAAATGACGTTTACTGAGAAATAGAACCAATCTAGATTGGGACACATATATTGTCAGCAAATGAAAAGAGTTCTTCCCTAGACCACAAGACAGGTTACATTCTTTTCTTGTTGGATCAGGAACTAAAGGTTCCAAAATTCACAACTGGCTGAAAGACTATCAGGGAAGCTAAAGGTGAGGAGATATCTAGACTTTTGAAGCAGTAGGTAACAATGATATCATTGGTCAGAGGTACATGCAGTTCTGTTTTTTCCAGGGTGCCCCAGGATGGAGACAGAACTAGTTTTCCTGTAACCTGTTCTTCCTCAGTCATATTTTTGGAAGTCTGTTGTAAAGAATTAGGTAACACTTTACCTCGAGACCCTCCCTTCACATCTTGCATCCATTTATCTATAATAATAAAGACCCTTTATTATTGTAAGGAATAGAGAACAGGCAGGCAGACCTGAACTGGCCCCTGGAGTGAAGAGAAATGTTCTTAGAGCCAATCAGTGGTAGGTCAGCATCTTAGTTATCTACTACTGTTATAACTGTAACAGATACCACAAGTGGGTGCTTCAGCAAACACAAATTGATTATCTTAGAGCTTAGGAGACCAGAAGTCTAAAATCAGGCTGCCAGCTCAAGGGGAAGGCCCTCTCTCTCTGAGGTTCTGGAGGAAGATCCTTGTACCCTTGAGCTACAATCTGTAGGCCTGGCATTCCTTGGAGATCTCCATGTGCCTTGGCCTTCCCCTGAATCAAGGAGCATCCTAGCACAAGAAGGCCTTGTCCAAAATGATGTGCTTCACTCTTTTTAATTATTTCTTAGTGGTACTGACGTCCTTTCCTTTCCCTCTCAATTTCCTCCCATTTTATTGCTTGTGAAAGAAAAGGTGTTATAGGCTACACCCTAGGAAAACTTCCCTTATATAAGATAAGAGCTGTGCTGGGGTTAAAGAGTGTAGCTTTCCACTCTTAATCTTTTTACAATTATTTCCTTTATTAGATCATGGGGGAATCATTGTATAGCTTCCACATTATATCATTTCATACATGAATTTGGTGGTGATACAATTCAGCCCATGAGATCTTAAAGATAACCGTGGTTTTCATATGTGCCTAAGCTACCAAAAGTTTTATTGCCCTTTTTGGCCAAATCAGGCCTAAACTGTTAATGCTGCTATGCTGGGCAGTCAGGGGACTAGGGATAGAGGGCTCATTATGTGATTAATTTAGCTACCACTCTCTGAGTTCATGTAAGACCGCAAACGGTGTTGGTCTGTGTGCTACCCACCAGGGCCTGCCCCAGGGTAACTCTGGTGCCACACATTTTAGTAGCATTGCTGCATGTTCAGTCTCTCTATATAACTCAAAAAACTCATTCCCATCGAGTTGGAACTAACTCATAGCTGACCCTCCAACACATTTTCAGAGGCTGTAAACTGCACAGGACAACATAACTCTTTACCAGTAGGCCACCAGAGCTCCCCAGTCACTGAACACGTCTGCTTAAAAGAAAGAGGAAAAGGTTTAAATAGACAGTCACTGTTTCAGCTGGACTCATAAGTTTTTTATCTCCCTTACTTCTGCCCCTACCATGTTAAAAATCTCAGTCTGCTTTTAGCTACTTCAAGGAGTAAAAATACAAATGCTTTTGCTTTTTCTAAACATGGCTCTGTTATTCTGTTTTCCACTCATTTTGAGCCCACTCAGTTCTAATTACCTGCTTGTGGTTCTCTGACATTCTTAAAATGCCTCTGTTATTGTATATCATCAAGTCGGAATCCCATAGCTGACCTTGCAACAGGTTTTCTTTTTTTTTTTTCTACTTGGTAACTTTTTATTTTTTTTTCTATAATTATATTTTATTAATTTTCATACACATTTACAGAGATTTTGGGTTTCCATTCATTCACTGTTGCACTATTCTCTTTACCCTCCTCCCAGTTTGTTCTTGTCCAAATGCCACAGTGCTTGTCAAAGCCAGTTCTGATTAATCTTCTTTGTCAGTGTGTCCTTTGCCATTCCCTATCACTCCTCCCTGAGAGAGACTTCACCCTGAGTCATAAGGAAAAGGGGATGGCGTATTCTCTTAGCTACTTCCTGCAACAGGTTTTCAGAGGCAGTGAATTACACGGGAGGAGACGTCCCATCCTTCTTCCTCAGAGCAGCTCATGCATTCTGCTAGATCTTCACACTGGATGTAAGGCCAAGGACTCAAGGAAGGGACCAGAGAAAGAAAGGAAGCTAAAGAAGCTTTATTAAGGGGTCTCCCGGGCGGGATTCCTTGGTCTGAGAAACTGGCAGGACAGACCGGGGAAATACTGCGCCCTAAAGTGGATTAGGGCAGGTTTTATAATGACAGTCTTTAGGGAGGGAAGGGCCGTATACTCCATGGTAGTTGAAGCTGTCCACTCCCTTTGTTGAATCCTTTGTTCTCCCTTTGACCTTGGTTCTGGCCTGTCACATTCGAACCACATGCTTTGGGTTTGCAGTGAAGCTTCTTTCCACTAGGCAACCAGAGCCCCAGGATGCCTCTAGATCTGCCAAACCTAAGGCAGCCTTTTGTTTCTTTAACAGTTGCAATCAACATACCCTACTGCACATCTCTATGTTTTTAAATGGAAGCACTGGTGGTGCAGATAATCTACTTTCACTGGTTCCAGTGAACCCCTATGGGCTGACTTTTAAAGGAATAAACTTACTTTAATGTACTCAGAGATTGAACCACTATACACATTAGTTATTTAACACAGCAGCTTTCTCCTTTCTTGTTCTAGGGACGGCCAAGAAATTGCTGTGGTTTACTTCCGTGATGGCTACATGCCAAGTCACTATAGTCCACAGGTGGGTATTTTCTGTTCCGCCACTTTTTGCCTCCTGGGGCCCACGAGGGCTCCAGAGGGACCCAACTCAGGCGTCACAACAACTGGCCTTTTCCCTGGGCCCTGGCTTTAGTTCTTCCTCAGGGGACCCATTGCTGAAATGTTTTAGTCTCCAACAAATTTTTCCTACTTCTCACTCTCTACAAACATGCTTTGTTCCTGAAGCTGAATCCTCAGGAATTCATGGTACTGGAGCCGCTCACACTGTTTCCAGCTGTATGCTTCTAAATATTTAATAAGATAATCGTCCCTCTGAGGGGAAGAACCTCAGTAGCATTTGTGGATTTTTGTGATGTAAATACTCCCACAGTGGCAAATGTCAAGCTACCCAAATTAACGTCTTTAACCAGAGGTAAAGAGAGATGTATACACTCCAGCCAGCCCCAGGCATACAACCAGCATCTCCTTCCTGCAGTTCCTGCCTGTCCTTTATCTGAATCAGAAAGCCTTTATCATCTGCTCCATTCATGTTAATGACAGTAATGATAACATCACCTTATCTTGCTATTTTTCTATGTAGTTTCAGAATCATGTTCCACATCTATTATCTAAAATCAGTTACTTCTTTAATCACTCCATGAGGTATATGATTAGCTCCATTACACAGATGGAGAAACTAAGGTTTGGAGAGATGCCAGAGCTCGTCTAAGGCCCCACTGTGAGTTCCCAGGTTTTCTGATTCTTAGTCCAGTGACCTTTCTAGCATATGATTATTCTCCTTCTACCCCTAATATCCCTAAAAAGCCCTGCTTTTTTGGAAGAAGGTAAAGGAAGAGATAAGTTGGAAAATACCATGAGCCTTCAGTTCTGCCTCTGTACTATCTGTGACCTGAAGGAAACACACACACACACACACACACACACTCTCTCTCTCTCTCTCTCTCTCTCTCTCACTGTCTCTCACTCTCTCTCTCTCTCAGACACATACACCCTGAAGGTGCTCTTTTCAGATCTCTAACTCTTTGAATCTAGAATTCTCCCAAGGTTCAGTTCTATAAGGGAGAACTCTACGGAAGTGGCAGCTCAATAGAAGGTCCTTTTTTTGAGAGAAGTTGTTAGCAGTCAGGTGAACTTGCTGACCAGAGAAGAAAGAAACTACTGAAAAAAATTCATCTGGGTTCTAGGACTGGGGGATTGAGGAGATGGACCAAAGAAAACGTGAAAAGAGGTTGTGCTAACAAGAAAAGCAGCACAAGGAGGTCGACATTTTCAGGAAACTAGAAAGTTCAAGCCAGGTATGGAACCTGGAAGTCAAATCAAGTGTGCAGGACTCAGTGCCTTGCTCAGTGATCGATCATGAGCACGTCACTGCTCATAACTGTTTTGCTTTCTCTGCATCTATCAAAATGGAATATATCTCTAGGTTTATCTCTGATATTCTAGCCAGAGTGACTGCCTACAATACCAGTTTAATCATTATGTGGCTGAGGTTAGTGGTGAAAACCAGCAAATGTGCAATAAGTGGACTCAAAGGCATGACAGCATTGAAGATAGGGGCTTGTGCATTAGGCTATAGCCTTCATATTGCTGTGGACGACAGCCAAGCATACACCATTCCCACATGCCGGAAATGAGGACCAGCCTTGTGGGGAATGATCCTGGCGGATCTCTTGCCTCTCTCACCCTAAATTCTTGGCACTGAAGCCATTCATTCTGTGATTATGCACCTGGAGGCCTTTGTATATATTGTTCTGTTCTGAGTATTTTTCCCATTAAATCTCACCTGCCCTCAGGATCCCACTCAGATTTCATGTTACTCAATAGCAACATCAAAATAATCGCTGAGCACCTACAGAATGCCAGGCACTGCACTAGTCACTGAGCGCCACAGAAAACAAGGCGGATGATGGGGATCTCATCTTTAGAAACCTTACAGGCTGGCCAGGGAGATGAGGATCAGAAAGTAAACGAAAAGAGGAAAAGGTTTTTTTTTCCCCAGTTGTGGGATGAGTGTAGAATGAGAACTTGGGAAACCTATATTAACTAGAGTTCAGGGAAATCTTCTTTGAGAAGACGACCTTGAGCTGAGACATAGGATAAGAAGAATCACCAATGTAGGGGGAAACGAAAAGAGAATTTCAGGCAGAGGGGAAAGCAGCCAATGCACAGGCCCTGAGGAGGAAGCCAGGTTTGTGTGTATGAAGAATGCAGGCTGTGTGGCTGGGACATGGGATGATGGCATGAAATGAGGTGGAGAAGTAGCCAGGGCAGCTCCTGCAAGGGCTTTCCATAAGGCCCTTCTAAGGAGTTTGCATTTGATTTGAAGAACCCTGGGAAGTGGAGTTCATAAGTAAGTGACTCACCAGCTTCAAACTTCTTGATCAGTTCATCTGCACTCTTAAACCTTTTGTCATGTTCTGTTTTTAATAATTGTCACATGTCATTGTGCTTGTCTGTGAGGTCTCTGAGGAAAGAACCCTGCAGATTGGGAGGGGTCCCATGATTCTGGGAAGTAATGAACATGAAGATAGAAAGCATGGTATTTGGCACCTGATGCCTGCTCAGGCAAGGTCAGCTGATATGAAATAAAATACAGGATCCTTTTTGTCTTGTTTTCTCCACAGAACTGGGAGGCACGCCTGCTGCTGGAAAGGTCGCGTGCTGTCAAGTGCCCGGACATTGCCACCCAGCTGGCTGGGACTAAGAAAGTGCAACAGGAGCTGAGTAGGATGGGCGTGCTGGAAGCACTGCTGCCTGACCAGCCTGAGGCTGTGGCTCGCCTTCGTGCCACCTTTGCTGGCCTTTACTCCCTGGACATGGTGTGTGGACAGCACTAGTGTCTCCTATTGCAGGCCTCCTAGGTAGCAGAGATCTGGAGCGCAGGCTGCGCAGGGAGGCTGGAGCTGGCTGAGGTTGGACTTGGTCTGTAATGCTCTGTAAGAACAACTAGAGGTTAGTGGGGCGAGGCAGGGCAGAACAGCCTTCTGATGGGAGGATAAAAACTGGAATCCATTTTGCTCCATCTGAAGTGGAGATAAGAATAGTAACAGTAACCAGAGTGCAACAATGAATGGAAATATACAATCTCTGTAAATGTTCACTGAAATTAATAATAATAATAATAAAAGAATAGTAACCAGAGGAAGAGACCAAGCCAGGCAACAAGATCTAGAAAATTTCTGTATCTTCTCCAAATCAAAAAAGCATACAAATGTCTTGGAGAGGGTACAACCTGAGTGCTCTTTGGAGGCAAGAATGATGAGGCTTTGTCTCACATACTTTGGGCATGTTGCTAGAAGGGGTTATTCCTTGGAGAGGGAAATGATGCTAGGAACGGTGGATGGTCAGCAGAGGAGAGGAAGACTCTCAACCAGGTGGATTGACACGGGTGGCTGCCGCAGTGGGCACTAGTGTGTCAGGAAGTGTGAGAATGGCAAAGGATAGAACAGGATTCAGATCTTTTATTCATACGATTGCTATGAGTCGTACTCGACTCAGTGGCACCTAACAACAACAACTCCAAGCCTACTGCTGCAGAGGCCTGACTTGTTGCCAGAAAAAGACCTATTCTCATGTACTTGTTTCTGGAGACTGGATGAGGTCATGTCTAGATAGTGGCACCCCAGTACAAAGGGTTTCTGTTTGTGTCCCTCCTGTTCTTGCTTCTTCAGCCTTACAAGTGCTAATGACAGTTTTCTTGATTCTTGGCAGGGTGAAGAAGGGGACAAGGCCATAGCTGAGGCCCTCGCTGCCCCAAACCGGTTTGTGCTAAAGCCCCAGCGGGAGGGAGGAGGTAGGTAGTCACCTCGCAGGGCTGCTGGCAGGTTGCTACCAGCACTGACTGGCTATGGGCACAGTCCCAGCTTTGGGGGGTGGGGGATATAGGAGGAATTGATACAGGTTCACACTTTGAAGGCCCAGGAGACCCTGTGGCCATATTTTGTCACAGGGTGAACGGGGGTGAGGGAGTGGGGAGGTGTGGAGATCTGATTAACTCTTGTTGTTGTTGTTGTTATGTGCCATCGAGTCACTTGCGACTCATAGCAACCCTATGTACAATAGCCCTAAACTCTGCTCTGTCCTGTGCCAGTTTCACCATCTCTGACACTCCCATCCCGATTATCCCAGTCACTGAATCAATCCACCTCATAGAGGGCCTTCCCCTCCTGCGCGGTCCCTCCACCCTCCCAAGCATGATGTCCTTCTCCAAGGACCTGTCTCTCCTCACAACATGTCCAAAGTATATTAGACGGAGCCTCAGAATCCTTGCCTCCAAGGAGCCACCCGGTTTAACCCTTTCCAGGATGAATCTAACACTGGAGAATTTGACCAAATTTAGTCTGAGGTCCTTGTGAATGATGAGGAAACAGGTTAGGGAATATTTACTAAGAGGGTGGATAGAATACATATCTGTCTTTCTGCCTTGTTTAAAAGTCCTTGAGTGAACACAAAAAAAAATCCTTGAGGATAGGGATCATGGACCCAGAGGAGATGATTTTGTTTTTTATTTTGATTTTGATCTTAAGGGCTGGACAGGAGTTTCCAAGAAGTAAAAGGCAGGGTAAGGACTTGGGGTGAAGATAATGATTCCATACAAAAGGAACAACCACAAACAAAGGCAGAGCCATGAAAGCATAGTGTTTAAGAGATTAAACAGTAATTAGTAAGGTTGGGTAGAGTGTGGAAGATAGGAGGCAAGGATTCAAGCTGGAAAAGATGTTTTGGAACCTGATTAAATATATGTTAGCAAATTGGATTTTAAATTGAGGCTAGGAGGAAACTGTTAGAAAGTCTACATTTAGGGCCCATGTTTCAGCCACTATAGCGGATGCCTTGGAATAAGAGGACACATTGGTGACAAACCATGCGGGAAGCTGGTTATTCAGAAGAGCAACGAAGAGACCTGAGCTAGGGCTATGACTGGAGCACAGATGGAGAGACCTGTCAGGGTTAGTGACAGTGGATCTAAGAGGTAACGGAGAGGGAGGAGTTACATATGATTCAGAGATGAGGAGCAAGTTTAAGCAGAAGTATTGAGTTCTGTTTGGACATGTTGAGTTTGATTAAGGGGCCTGTGCAACATCCACATGTTGTGTAAGGCAGAGAACTTGAGTTGAAGATTTGGTAGTTAACAACTGGATATTCCCAGGGCCCTGGGAATAGAAGTCTCACTGAGAAAATGTATGTATATAGAGAAGGAGGGTGGAGAACAGAGTCTTGTGGAACCCCAACATTTAAAAGGAGAAGAGCCAATAGAGGCTGAGAAGGGATACTGATAGACAGGTAGCAGGGGAACCACGGCAGGATGGCGTGGTGGATGGTTTGGTCACATGTATTAGAGCACTTCGGCCAAGGATGACATTCTGTCCTTGGCATCCAGACTTGCTCTGGCCTTACTGAACTAGTGCCAGGAACTGAGGCTGCTGACAAGGCGCCTACGCACACTTGTCCACGTGGCTCCAGCAGTGAGGTCATAGAGAGGGGAAGTGGACAGAGGGTCCGGGGTGACTCACCCTTGGGAATTGCAGGTAACAACCTATATGGGGAAGATCTGGTGCAGGCCCTGGAGCGACTGAAGGACAGTGAAGAGAGGGCATCCTACATCCTCATGGAGAAGATTGAACCAGAGCCTTTTGGGAATTGCCTGCTACGGCCCGGCAGCCCTGTCCGAGTGGTCCAGTGCATCTCAGAGCTGGGCATCTTTGGGGTCTATGTCAGGTACATCATTAATTAGAAGGGACCCTTCTTACTACTTCCTTGCCAAAATGCTAACCAAGCAAGCCTGAGGGAGCACTGGACAGGGAGTTGGGAATCCTGGGCTTCCTAGCTCTGCCAGTCCATAGTTATGCTATCTGCTCTCATACCTATAAAATAAGACCAATACCCTAACACCTGCCCACCTCACAGGACTCCCAAATGAAGCCCCTGTGGAGGGAGCTAGAGAAGGAAATTCATATCTGCTGAACAGGAATTGTGCACCTGGCATCATGCCAAGTGGTATTCCTGTCTTATTTAATCCTCATGACTCTTGCAAAGTAAAGGAGTAAACGCTATTATCCCTATTTTAATTGAGGAAATGGATATTTAGAAAAGCTAAGAAGCTTGCTTAAAGATGCAAACTAGGATTCCAGCCCAAATCTGGCTCTCCCAATTCAAACACTTTCTTGAGGGTTGTCACCCCATCCTGTCCTGTTCAGCTGGGATTGGTAAAGCACTGTGATTTTGGGGTCCAAGTCCAGGTAATAGTGTTGCATGTCTCCCATCCCCTTTCCTGCAGGCAAGGACAGACACTCGTGATGAACAAGCACGTGGGGCATCTGCTTCGAACCAAAGCTATTGAGCATGCAGATGGTGGCGTAGCAGCAGGAGTAGCAGTTCTGGACAACCCGTACCCTGTGTGAGGGCACAGCCAGGCTGGCTAAGACTTCTCTCAAGAGAGCTTCTATTTTCTGTCTTTGTCATTCCTCTCCTAGCCCTCTCCCTGCCTTGGGAAGGCTGGTTTCTGCCACAGAACTGTAGGATCTCATGGAAGGAGAACTGCTGGGTGCCTTCTGCAGCTCTCCACCTGAGGACCAGAAGAGCTGTGTTTCCCTCAGATGAGATGTCAAGGCCCTTGAATCCTTGGAATGTGGGTAGAGCTGAAGGGAAGTAACTCTGAGATAAAAGTCCATTAACCCTGCCAGCTTCCTGTCAAGCCTCTCATCACCCTTTTTTGCCAGGTCCCAGAACCTGCATGGGATAGGAACAAGGGTAAAATGAGAAGAAGCAGAGGGATATAACCTTCCCCATCTCTGCCTTAAATAAAACGACATTGCTAGTTCTGTGATTCCTTGGCTTGTGCATATGTGGGAAGGGGGAGCCATAATCTGGAGGTGACTGGGCTATAGTCAGGATCTCCCTAAACTCAAACCCTATGACCCTGACATTTCAATCCTTAGTCACTCACTGATGCTCCCTTTGGATCACAGGGCAGAAAGGTCACAGGCAGGAAGCACGAGTAAGGGTAATGGTGACAGGACTTCACAGTTAAGAACCAACTTCAATTGCTCTTGATTCTTCTGCTTAGCTTGGGGCCTTGTTGAGGGGCCTGCAAGTGAAGCCCTGCCTTCTTGTCTCTCTCTCTCTCTCTCACACACACACACACAATCAGAGCTGCTAACGTGCATACAGCACCTAAGAAAACCACAAAAACAAGTCACTGCCTTCCTGAGATCACTGAATTTATTCCTGCAAAGGGCTTAAGCATAACAGGCAAGAAAAGAGTTTCATCTGAGTCTCTCTGGGCAGGGCTCTGTTCAGTGGAGGCTGGGAAGGGAGGACAAGGAAGACAAGCAAGCACCTCTGGTTCTAACAACAGAACATGTCTACTCTCTTGATGAAGCGGATTTTCTGAAAACCCACTCAGTGAAGACGCTGCCTACACTTACAGCCCCAGGAACAAATGGGCAGACAGCATTATCATCTGGCACAAGAGAGATCTTAGACCTAAAACAGAACCAACATAGTGTTTTTTACAAAACAGGCATTTCTAAGTGCAGGTGCACGCCCAGTGTGCTTCCTGAGAGAGTGGACAGGATTACAAAGTTGCCTCCCTTCTCCAGTTGAGCCCTTCATTTGCCCTCTGCACACATAAACGTGAGTCAGGGACATAACCTTCAAGCCTCTTTTAGGCTCCAAGGGATCTTTGCAGTCTAGGGTTACAGCAACGTGAGGCTGGCCTGGGTCCATCTGCCTGGCTGGAAGTCGTCTCCACCCGAGGACAGGGTTAGTCCTCAGTCCCAGACAGGAGGTTGAGGGAGATGGTGTGGGTGAGCTTTAGCCCTCAGCACTCCTAGACAAGGGGCAGGGAGGAGCCGCACAACTTTGAGAGCCAAGCAGGGGGAGTCGTGGGTAAAGGTCAGGGTCTTGTTCACTGGGTCGTCACACAGCGGTGGTTGAAGAGATGGCTGATGACGGATGGATCAGCCACAGTAGATGTGTCTCCCAGGTCGTGGTCATTCTGAGCAATCTTCCGAAGCACCCGCCGCATGATTTTCCCTGGGGGATCCACAGGCCTCTGGTTACCTGGTGACAACACTGGCTCCCCAGCCCTGCTGAAGGCTCACTCCAACACCCCCAGGCCTTAGCCAATCCCTCGGGGGACCTCTAAGCATACCTGAGCGAGTTTTAGGTAAACCAGGTGCATTCTGGATGTAATCCGGTGTGGCAATCGGACCAATCTTTTCTCTAACTGTAAACATCATTGAACATTTATTTAGTATTCTCAGCCAGGCCCCCAGAAACCAAGGTAGAAAACTAGCTTTTTTTCCTATTTCCTCTTCAAGACCCTTCAAGTCACTCTTAGGTCCACTGCCTGTCTCTTTTAACACACTGGTCTTTTTTACTTCAATTTTACCATAATCTTCCCTTCTCAGAGTCAGATTCTTGAATCCGTGGCTAAGGTTTCTTGCACTAATTACTAGCCATGCTTAACATGTGATTTAACTTCTCTAAGCCTGTTTTTACTTGTTTAGAATGAGAGTTAACAAGATCCATTTCATAGGGGAGATTGCAGAGATTAAATAGGGTAAGGCGTTTATTTAACTTAACCCAGTGGTGGCATAGAGAAAATAATTCTATAAATGTTCACTCTTATGTGGAAGGGAGCTCTGGTGGCTTAGTGGTGAGGAGTTGTGCTGCCGACCCAAAGGCCGTGTGCAACGTGATCCAGATACACCCACTGCTCCTCTAGAGACAGATAGGCAATCTCCTCCTGTGCATTGTATAGCCTCTGAAAACCTGCTGGAGGGTCAGCTATGAGTCCGTTCCAATGTGACAGTACACAACAACATGACTGTGGAGAGACAAAGGGAGCACAGAGTGGGAAGAGGACAACCACCCCTTGGGGCCCTCTGAGATCTGTGATTTGGAGAGTAGCTCACTCCTTCCTCCTCCTCAACTTGCTGTGGCAACTGATCTACCAGGACAGATGCCTCCCCCAAAGCCCCTGCCCAGGAAGGTTCCTCACTCTGCTTCTTGAGCTCCTCAATAAGGACAGGACTGAAGGTATGGCCATCACAAAGGGTGACAAAGCAGTACAGGCATTCCCCCTTTACAGGATGAGGGTGTCCAACCACCGCAGCCTCTGCAACAGCCTCATGCTCCACGAGTGCTGACTCCACCTCTGCCGTGCTCAGCAGGTGTCCTTGTCAAGGGAAAGGAAGAACCATGAGAGAGCGAGCGAGCTCCCCATCGACCCTCAGCCTCTGCTAGAACCACAGGGGAGGCCTAGTTTGGTCAAATGCGGAAGGCCCTTCTTCACATATGTTTCCAGTTACCTCACCAACCTGGTTCCCCTCCTCTGAGCACATTCCAGGGTTCATCACCTACTCTGAAACCTAAGCCATAACTGAATGTGTCACCCCAGGCATGGTCTGGCACTCTCAGAAGGCTAGGAGTTGCCAGGAAGGCAGGTCTAACAAGATGGGAAAGTGATCCCTCTCTCTCACCAGAAACATTGAGCATATCATCAATCCTTCCAGTGATCCAGTAATAGCCATCTTGGTCCCTCCGGCAACCTGGAAAGCAAAGGTAAGATCACACACCAAAGAATGGACAACATAATAAGTAATCCATGTCGCCAAACAGTCATACCTAATAAATCTCCTAACAAGTCTTCCTGGTATTTTCACCTCTGTGTAGCCCCTGTTCTCATTTTACTAGGATGGTCCATGTGACCAGCAGGATGTGGCAGGAGTGATCGGATGTAATTTGTGAGATTTGAGTGTAAAAGATACTATAACTTCATCTTGGACAAACATCCTCTGAAAGAAACCAATTGTCATGTGAATAGCCCTATGGAGAGGCTTATGTTGCGAGAAACTGAGGGACTGAGGGTTCCTTCCTGCCAGGAGCATGAGTATATACAGCCAGGTATGCCCTACAATCTCCGTCATACTTTAAGAGGATGCATCCCTAACCAGCAGCTTGATCAAGAACCACTAAGCAGTCACAAATTCCTGGTCCTCAGATACTAAAATACTATTTGTCTTAATTTGCCAAATTTTAGAGTCATTTGCTCCATGACAATAGATAATTAAAACACTTAACCAGGCTAAGTGTCTCTATAAACCAGACTAAAAACTATTTTTTCCTACACCATTTGTACTTTCCCCCTGTCTCATTTCCATTAGTCCTTCTTGCTGTCAGGGTTTTATTATTGGGAATATGCATTTTTTATGACTTTAAATGGTTGGTCATTTGAAGGAGTGATCCTAATATTATTGTTCTCTGTATAGATCTTTTTATCGTTTGGCTAAAAGTTGAGCCATTGGGTTAAGTTTTATTCCAGGTTCGAAGGATGATTACGGGCCAGAGCCTCAGGGGTTCTGCCAGGCTCTATTACACCAGTAAGCCTGGCCTTTTATTGGTTTTGACTTTATTTCTTTATATCCCCCTACTGTATCCACCATGATCTTCCACTATGATTTCTTTTACAGTCATTAGTGGTGGTAGCCCAGTATCACCTAGTTCTTTTGGTCTCAGACAGTGGAGGCTGTGGTTCGTGTAGCCCATTAGTCCTCTGGACTAATTGGGTCTTGAATTTTCTTCATTCTTCTTTGATCCAGAAAGGGAGATACCAATGGTTGCACCTTACTTGGCTGCGATTGCTGTTGTTAGGTGCCATCAAGTCGATTTTGACTCACAGTGACCCTGTGAACAAGAGTCCTGAGCCTTGCCCTATCCTGCACCACACGCTTCATCTCTGATATACTCAAGCCCACTATTACAATCACTGTGTCAATCCATCTGGTTGAAGGCCTCCCTGTCTTTCACTGACTCCTCACCTTTCCCAGCATGATGCCCTTTTTCCAAGGACTGGACTGTCCCAAAAACATGCCCAAAGGATGCAAGACAAAGTTTCACTATCCTCAACTCAATGATTCTTCTTCTGTCATCTTTATTCCTTGCCCACTTTTCAGAGTAAATAGACTATGGCTTGGATCATGTTCATCTTTGCCTTTAAACTCATATCATTGTTTCTTAGCACTTTGGATTTCCTGACTGCTGGGTGTTGACTGTGGATCCAAATAAGAGGAAATAATTGAGAACTTCAGTCTTCAGTCTTTCCTCCATCTGTGATGATGTTGTCTATTGATACAGTGATGAGGATTTTATTTTCTTGATGTTGAGATATAATTCATATTGAAAGCTATCATCTTAGATCTTCTGCAGCAAGCTTTTAAGTTTTTTGAGTTGCTACTCACAAAACTAGATGTTGAATTTTGTCTTTGTGAACTATGTTACAAGCAAAGATACTTTCAAACACTTGATTAGTCCTTATCACTCCCCTGCTTAGTTCTTATCATTCCCCTATTTAAAGCCCCTGAATATCTACCATTATTCTTTTCATAAAATCCAGTCCTCACTATGGTCCACAAGATGCTATATAATCTACCTCTCTAACATCATATAACATTCTTAAATTTTCTCATTACATTTTAGCCACACAGGCTTCATTCTTTTCCCACAATTCAAGCCTGTAATCTCTCTGCCTCAAACACTATTACTTCAGATTTTTGTCTGGTTCTTTCTTCCTTTTCAGGTTTTTGCTCAAACATTACTTCAGGTAACTTTCTGTGATCATTCTGACTATAGTGGCTGTCCTGCTCTAAACGTTATAACATTGCCTTATTTATTTGTATTACTGGCCTAATTTCACTAATTAATATTATCTTCCCCTACTCCTGGTTAGTTTTTTTCTATCTCCCCTTATTAAAATGTAAGCTCCATATAAGTTGGGATTATGTCTGTCTTATATATGGGAGTATCATCCTCTGTGCTGAGAACAGTTCTTGAACATAGTAGGGGCTCAGTAAGATCCATGTTCCCAGGCTCTAAACATGGAGAAAACATAGTCATAATATTTAGATAGATAGATAGATAATAGATTTGTATATAAGATAAGGATAGGGTCAGAATTTCCTGATGGGTTCACAGTCTGTTACTAATGTCTAATAAACCTCTGTTTCTTCCTCTAAAAAACAAAACAAAACAAAAAACCCATAGTCATAAACACTGCCACATGCCCATCTCTTTTAGTATAGGAATAATGGAAAGTAGAATATCTTTCCTTCTTGTTGAGTCGTAGATGACTCACAGGGACCCTATGAATGAAAGTCTTTCCTTAGATATCAAATTTCAGGTGGTGCCATCCTTAGATTCTCCCTGCAACAGTCTTCCCTTCTTACAGTCTTCTCTCAGTGTCTCCGTCTGGACACCAGGCACTGACACATGTGACACGGTCCTCTCTCTGTCCTTCATCCCTAATCAACTCTTTCTGAAAATTGAAAGGGAGGGGACATATCTTATTGGGAGGTGGTAAAGGGATATTGCCAATGCTCACCATCTCCTGTCACATAGTACCCAGGAAACTTTTTAAAGTAGGTGGTCTCAAAGCGCTCATGGTTCCCATAGACTGTGCGCATGATACCTGGCCAGGGCTGTTTGAAAACCTGGAGAAGAAAGAAGAGGTAATGGTCACATATACTGCACTGTCATATGCCAAACATGAGGGAAAACAGCCTGAATGCCACTTCTGAGAAGCAGGGTTTGTACAGGCTTTGGGACAGACAATCCTGGCCTGGTAGCCCAGCTACAGTAGCTGTGTAACCTTAGGTAAGTGATTTCACCTCTCTGACCTTCAGGATTCTCTGACCTCCAGGATTCTCATCTGTAAATCAGAGAAAATAGTCTACCTTACAAAATTATCCTGAAGATTAAATAGTATATTGAAATCTCCTAGCAGTGTTGTTAGTGATAATCACTTAGTAAATTTTAATCTTCTTTTGGGTAATACCTCAGGAGAGCTGGTTCAATTTGATATCTGAAGGAAATAAAAATAATCATTATGGCCCACACATGAGCAAATAATTATTATCCCAATCTAATATTCTGTAGTACCCAATTGATAGAGTAGGCAAAACTCAAGGCTAAGAATCAGCAGACCTAGATTCAAGTTCTTCCTCTGTTATTAACTGCTCTTGGGAATGTAAAGCAGAAGTAAAGAATGGGAGTCAGTGATCTTTGAGGTTCCCCCAAATACTACTAACAACAGTTGTAGGCACTGTGAGGTTCTATGCTAAATCCTTCATATGGATTATCTCATTTTATCAGTCCAGTAGGAGACAAGGGTACTATTATAACCTTACGTAATTCATAAATAAGCAAATTTTTGGTTCAGGGGGTTAGGTACCTTATCTGAGGACACAGAAAAGGTAGAGCCAGGACTTGAACCAGGCATGTAGAGATTTTCCACTATGTTTATGAAGCCTCTTTTTACTCTAGAATGTTTGTCAAAAGAAGAGCTGGAACTAAGCCTTCTAGACCAAAAGGCTGAGTTAAGGGTCTTTGTGCAGACTCTAAAAGGAAACTTAGCAACCTCATGGTCAAAAGGGAAAAAATGCAAGCAAAGTATCCATAGTGATTGGTCCCAGAGACTTTCAGAAGAGGGAAAACCCCCAACTATGGAGATAAAGCCTTAAGCAACTACCAGAAGAAATGATTCTAAAGTTTGAAGCAAAGTGCAATACCCCCTTGTGGACCCTTCCCCTTCTACCCTCAAGAACCTCCAAAGACCGGGCATAAATAATGTATACAACATTGAAACAGATGAGGGAGATAACTGCATAAAAGGTAGTATTGGCATGACAAAAGTCCAGAATAATAGCTGCATAGTAAAGTGATCTGGGGTTGGGGAGGGGACTGTTATAACAATGAAAGACCTTTTTTTCCAAAGAAAAAAAGTGATCTGGGGAGACGGGATGCAGGGAGGAAAATATGCAACGATGAAGGATTGGAATGCAAGTTCTTTATAAGTTTTCATTAAAATCTCAATTAAAAAAAGAAAAGAACCTCCAAGGACCAAGGCCTCACCAGATAGCCTTCAGCTTCACCTTCTAGCTCTTCTCCAGACTCATTCAGTATTGCAGGAGCTACGCCAAAGAATGGGAAGGTCTAGATGCAAATAGGAAACAGGACTCAGGAGAATGAGACAACTCTGGTTAAACTCAACCTCTTTAAAGATGCCCTGGCACCCCAACTTCCTCACACATTCCAGCCCACACCTTCTAGGTAGCTCAAAGCTCCAAGACCCTAGCTCTGCCTATTCAGAGACCAGTCAGAGTAGCCGCACTCACAGCAGAACCAGGTTTCATGGGTGTAGCTCCAGGGAGGGGAGTCAGCATGTGGCCACCCTGCAGAAGTCAGAAATAATGGATTTGAGGCCATCTTCATACAGTGTTTCTCAGCCCAGCCCTCTGGACCCCTCACTTACTGTCTCTGTCTGCCAGAAGGTATCCACAATGGGACATCGTTGGGAACCTACTACCCGGTGGTACCACAGCCAGGCCTCAGGATTGATGGGCTCACCCACTGTGCCTAGCACCTGTAAGGATGCCCGGCTATGCCTTGGGCAAAGGGTTGGAGAGAAAGGAAGGCTGTGAATATCATTGGGATCCAGGAAGATGTGTCCAGACTCTTCTCCTTCCCCCTCCTCTATTCAAGGAAGTGAGACAACAGAATGGAATAGACTGTGCACAAAAGCCACCATCCAGCTCTGAGGGACACCCATGGGACAGCAGCTAGGGAGGGGAGGGTCTCACTTGGTGACAGGTTCATCTCCAAACTTCATGAGTAGGCGGATGGCTGTGGGTGCTGTGTAGAACTTGGTCACCTTGTACTTGTCCACGATGCTCCAGAGGCGGCCCACGTCTGGGTATGTGGGGATCCCCTCAAACTGGTCCCAGTAAAGGTTAGTCATTCTTGTTCTTTTCCAGTAACTCCACTATTCCCTTCCCAGAACCTTATGCCCCGTACTTTGCTCTTCCTGACCATCCCCAGTATCTTTACACTATGATCAGGTAAGCTTACGAGAGGCCTCATTCCCGACCAGTGTACACAAAGCCCTCAAGAGCCCTCCAGATAGGTAACTGTGTGGATGCTCTTGTCTCTAGACCAAATGACTTTGGGAGGTAGTCACCCAAGATTATCTTATCCATCCTGACTCTAGACCAAATGACCATGGTCTCAGTTCCTTTCTTACCAAAACACTTGTGGCAGCATTAGCCAGTGGCCCGTAAGTGATATAGGAATGGCCAGTGATCCAGCCAATGTCTGCTGTGCACCAGAACACATCCTTGGGGTGAAAGTCAAACACGTACTTGAAGGTTGTGGCCACGTAGAGCATGTAGCCCCCAATTGTATGCACTACGCCCTGTGGGAAGAATATAGGACCTTAGGTTTGGAGTTTTGTGCCCATCCCTACTGACCACAAAATGAAGGCTGGGGCAGAGCAGGAAGCAGGTCCTCGTCAGGCGTTCTGGTCCTGCCTTCACGCCTTGTACAGCATCCCTCACTCCCCAATCTCCTTTTCTCCATGCTTCCACCTCATTGCCCTGCCGTCACTCACATGCACATCCATTATCACACCTGCACTTCCCCCCATCTTTTTAAAAAATGTTTTTATCTTTTGTTTTCTTTTTTACACACCTACACTTTGGGGATTGCAGCGCAACTTCTTGCCTAAACACCTACACTTTAATATGCTATTTCTGAGTCATCTACACCATTCAGACATGCACTTGTCTAGCATATATCTAGCAGTTTCTCTGTTACACATATTTGTATATATACACACTCTCATACACATGGGCAAAGTCAGTGGGGAAAAACAGACAATTCTCTTTGCTCACTCATCCCTCTGCCAAGAGCAAGTAAGAAAAGGCCTAAAATAAAGTTTCTAAAGGTCCACTGAGAGACAGTCCAAAGCATATGGAAAGAAAAATTTAGGGCTGAGTAGGAGGAAGGTAGAGTGACATAACTTTGTTGTAAATGGAAGAGGAAGAGTTTTCTTTCTAGGAACAGTGGAGGTCAGTGTCCAGCTCACACATGGGCCTGGGAAGTGATGATGTTAATATTTTATTTCTTTGTTTTTGTTGCTCAAACTCGTGAGGACAGAACTCATAAGAGCTGCTAGTGGTCCTAGGAGTCTGAAAGCAATCCCTGTGCTCACTTTTGGCCTTGAGTTGACAAGTTGAAAGTGAAATTCTTCTTTAGTCAATCCATGTCGGCAGGGGAAAGATCACCCATATCAGACACGTGGACTGACTGTTTTCATCTTTTCTAGATATCATGAAAGCTATCACCTGAACTATCTCACCGTAATGGGAAAGATGCATTAAAACAAGCCTAAAGTACAATTTCCCACTACATAGATATTATGGATTTTATGCTTAATCTGGTTTGGAAAAAGCAAGATGATATTTCTGAAACCCAAAGTTATAGAGTAAAATTCATGTCATTACATGCTCCTTAGAAACTTACTCTCACCCCTAGACAGTGCACACAAACACATACACACACGCTTGCCTTGGGTTTGCCTGTGGAGCCGCTGGTGTACAGGATGAAAAGTGGGTCCTCAGCATCACACCACTCAGGCTCACACTCGTCCCCTGCTCCTTGCATGAGTTCATGCCACCACAAGTCAACCCCCTGGTTCCAAGAGATCTGCAGTGAGAAGAAGATAGGAATAAACAAGAAAAACTGTAAACAGGTCAAAGTAGGGGTAATAGATACCTTACCTAGCATCTGGAGCTGAAATGGGATTAGCAGATCATTAAGAGTGCCTCAAAGGAAGAAGGGAAGGAGAGCTTTTTAGGGTAGAAAGTACACAGAAAACAGGAACAAAACAGCAGGTTTACTGAGTACTCCCAGCACCCTGGCTTCTTCTCCCAACTCTGTCTTGGAACTCTCATTACCTGGCCTCAGACTGAAGAAGGTCATTTGGCTGATCTTTCTCATTCTTCACTTGTCAGCTTAAATGTCACTTTCTTGGAGAAACTTCTTCTGAACAGTATCTTGTAGAGTCCCACACCTCATGCCACCCTTGCTTGTTATTCTTAACCACAACACTGTATTTCTGTCCCACACAGCACATATTTCTAATTATTTTATTTAGTTGTTTATTTCATTACTACTTCCCCAGCTACATAGGGAAGTAACAAATCTATCTAATTTTTTAACTCTAGATCCCCAGTTCCCAGCAAAGTATGTGGCATTAAAAGTGAAACACTGTATTTTTATTGATAAATGTGCAGAAATAGACCTGCATGCACACATATGCACTTGTGGGCCATTGGCTCATTAGCAGGGAAGCAAACATCACACAGTTTAGAAATGTAAACTTAGAGCCCACAGGTGAGGCAGGAACCTGATCCTGTTAGTTGGTAGCAAAAGAAGTGAACAGATCTTGGGTCAAGGACCTTTTCCTGAATGTCCAGACTTTTCTCACATCTTCAAGTACTTTTCTTAGCTCTATCTCTGTTCTTATACATTGACACCAATGAGGTTTCTTTGAGATTTTTATTTACAGAGGCAGGTTCCATTCAATAAGAAACCTTACTTCAGGTCAGCGAAAAGGGCCAACATGGAGAGGAATGTTCTCTGTACTCAATTGCCTAGAATTTCTCTAAACTGTCCTTTAAAAACTTTTTCTTTCTTGCCTATACCATTTCGTTGAATAACCAGTTTTCTCTGCTATAGTATTTGCAATTACTTGCTATGCATCAGAAAGCTGGACAATGACTAGGAATGATAGAAGGAAAATTGATGCCTTTGAGCTGTGGTGCTGGAGAAGAGTATTGAGGGTACCATGGACTGCTAGGAGAACAAACAGATTCATCCTAGAAAGGGTGAGACCAGGCTTCTTCTTGGAGGCAAGGATTCTGAAGCTTTGATATACTTTGGATATGTTTCAAGGAAGGTCCCTGGAGAGGGACTTCATGACTGGGAGAGGGTGGAGGGACAGTACAAGAGAGGAAGACCCTCGATGAGATGGATTGACTCAGTGATTAGGGTAACTGGGGTAGGTGTGTCAGAGACAATAAGATTGGCACAGGATAGAGCAGGGTTTAGGGTTGTTATACATAGGGTCACTATGCGTCACAGGCGACTCGATGGCATAACAACAACTCTCTGCTAATGAGACTGGATTCCCTGAATTTATCAAAAAAATTACACTGTATTTCAATCCCAGTTCTGCCACTTGTTGAACTATATTATCCTGGGCAAATAACTTTTTCTCAAGTCACTCCTTTTTAAAATGAGAATAATCACTCTTGCCTTAATGGCCTCCTAAGACATGGATAACATACAAAGAGAAAGCAGTTACTTGTAAACATTAAGCTTAGCTCACCCCAGGGGAAAAGGAGGAGAAGTGGTGAAAGTCAAGAGGGACAGGAATTAGTCCAGTGTTCACTGGGCTCCTGTGGGAGATGAAGATGGGAACTGTCTGAGGTTTGCTTCAGCTGGCACAAAACCTTTTCAAAAACATTAGCTTTTTGTATATTCAGTAACCCTGGATGGCAGGTAGACACAGCAGTATGAGAGAATCCTCCTTCTATTACATCAATAGATGCTAATTTATTTGTATGCATATCTGATTAAAAAACTCACATGTGTGTTAGACATTATCTTGATTAATTATAAAAATGACTCTCCCATGACACCTCTCTTTCTGTATTAATTGCCCCTTACTATAGAGAACGAAAAAGTTTCTAGCAAAGCAGCAGCCTAAGGACAAACCTAGTCAAGTTATGTAACCACTAAAACCAACAACAAGAAACGCAAGAGAGAAAAGCTGCCCTTAAGCTGGAAAGCACAAGAGCAAACTGCTTTTCAGTGGAAGATCCATGAGAATCTACATATTATCAAATGGACACCCTTCCCCACCACTAGACAATCTGCATGAGATGATGCCATTAATGTATTTTAGGAAAAATATTGTTTTGACACATTTTCTACAGTACTGGTGTGACGGTGACCCATCACAGAAAATGTTCTATGGACATGCCAGGACAAGGTCTAGTTATTCTAAGGTCATGGAATAAAAGACTTTTTTTATAAAACTGTTTTCCTTGTGGGTGTGTGCATCGGAAAGAGAGCAGGTGTTCCAGGTGGGGAACCACCAACCAGTACCAGGAAGCAGGATGAATTTAATTAGTGGGACGGACGTTGGCTATGAATTGGATATATGCCTATTAGGGCCCAGAGCTTTGAATCAGGAACCTGTCTGAATTTTCTAAAACAAGGATTGAGGAACTGGCCTTTGTCCTTGGGCCTAGAAAAAAGTCTCAGCTTCCAGGTGTTGGAAAACCACATGTGACATGTCATAGTTAATGCTATTGAGGCCTTGCTAACCATGCCTTGCTTGCTTTGACTGCTTAAAGATGAGGGTATTTGCGACTCTACCAAGTTTTATGCAACATTAACAGCAATTCTCGGCCCACAAACATAGACTTTATAAGCTTATTTTTATTTCTTTTGGGTTTTGGTAACAGATTAAAAAAAAAGAATAAAAATCCAGTATTTTATAGAATATGGTCTCTGGTATTAAGTATTTGAGAATCTGTGAGTTCTTTTTAGAACTGTCTGCTATATTAAGGGGAAACAATAAAAATTAAAATTTATCAAGTATACTATTGAGTTATCAAATACCAAGCACTTTGTATACCCTAATAAATTTCTGTAAAGTAAGTACAGTTAATACACTTATTTTACAGATGAAATAGAGGCAAGAGAGGTTAAGTAACTTCCTGAAGCTCACACTGTAACAGATGAGAATCAGAATTTGAATCCAAGTAGTCTGGCTACAGAACTTAAATATAAAGCACCAAGTTTGATACCCCTTGAGGCTTGGGTTTCTGTTTGAGTTTTAAGGAGGAAGCAGTATCTGTTAGGAATAAAGTCTGTCTCTATCATGTAAATAAAAATAAAGACACCATTAACCTATGTGGTATGTGATAGTAGATTGCGAGTAAGTCATCTAAAACTCTCAGGGACAATGGGCTTAATGTTTTCTTTCAGCAAGCAAAGCAATTTCCTTTTAATCACATTATTATCATCTCTCCCTTAGTGACAGGGAAACTGAAGAGTGGATAGAAGAGGTTACTTAATCAAGGTACTAGAGCTAAATACTGGTGTCTAGGTGTTTGGATTCCAGGCCTATTTTCTCTTCTTTACTAATATTTTTTGATTCCTTACTTACGATGTCTTTCTTCTTAGCATCACTTAAATATGATTTTTTTAAAAAAATTGTTGTTTAATCTTATTTGGTAATTTATAAACCCCAAAGTCATATATAAACTAGCTGTGAGGTCCCAGGATCAGAGTCTGCGCCTCTTTCCACGTGTTCCTCCTCCTGTCTCCTGGATCAGCCCCGTGTGAAGGACACACACAATAAACGCTTTCTGACAGATTAATTTGTCCCTTCTCCCACAAAGGTCCTGAGCAGCAGGAGTGAAATCAGATGTCTGTTGTTACATCTCTAAGATCCATGCTCTGTGCCAGCTCAGAGTCACACAATTAGCATCTGATTTCACAACCCCCCAGAAGGGTTTTGATGGCAAGGGCCCCAATGACAGGAGGAAGGGCGGGAGGGTCTGGCAGTCACCTCAATGGGGCACACAGGCAAAGAGCAGATGGACACACAGACAAGCACGCAGGGAAGCCGTGCTCAAGGCAGTGCAGAGGTGGATACCTGGGGCTGGACGCGCTTGGATTTCTCTTTCCGCTTAGCCTGTTAAGAGCCATAGAAAGGCAAGTGAGCAGGACCAGAGTGCAGGAGTGGAAAGGATCAGGGTGCTCCAGATCCTTGGCTGTCTGCATTCAGGCTCCATCTCACCGGGCGTCTCAGCTTCCATTTACAGGATCCTGATCCCAGCCTATATACTTGGGACCTCTAACACCAATGGGGCTCTCTAATAGACCAGTAATAAAATATAGTCTCTCTAGTCCCTTTTGTCTCTTAGACCTGAAGGTCCCAATGGTGTTTTCTACTCTTCTCTTCAGAAGATTGAATCTAATGCTATTTAAAAAACAAACAAACAAAAAAACCAAAAACCACCAACTCATTGTCTTTGAGTCTGTTCCAACTCATAGCAATCCTCTATTAGGATCCCAAAGGCTATAAATCATAAGAGGAGGAAAGTGCCATCTCACTCCCAAGGAACCACTAAAGGCATGTGACCTTTGTGTTAGCAGCATGACTGTACTAGCAGAGTTTCCTGTGTTAACAGCTAAGACGGGTCCTATGTTGAGACCCAGATCCTGAACCTTCTATGGTAAGTAATCTCTAGTTTACAAAGGTAGTCAGTTTACCTCAAGCCACAGCCTGCTGCAATCAAGGTGATGATATTACTAATTCCAGCTCAAACCCTGAGGATCCTTAACACCCAAGATATCCCGACCAGCACAGACAATATCTTACGCTAAATTCCTCTACAGTAAAGGGACTCCCTCCCTACCCATGTTCAAAGTTAGAGCCTCCAGCTCTTTAAGGAGACATTCCTAGCATTCCTCCCAGATCCTTAGCACTAGAATGAGAGAGCAAAAGAAGTTATCAAGATATCAGGCAGGAAAAAGGAACCATGACCTCAGAATAGGATAGAAAAGTACCAAACTCACCTGCACATCTGGGCATGACCTCTTAACTGGAGGGGACTGGCTGGGAGAATCACCCATGCCCAGCTCTGCCCGTCCTAGATGCTTGACCACAATGCAGCGTCTCACTGGGAAACCCCTGCAGGAAAGAAAAGCTTGAAGTTGATTTGGTTGATTTGAAAGATAATTTAGGATAAAGGGAGTTTGAGTCCCAGAACCTGCCGTTATAAAAAAGCCTAGTCAACCCACCATCTAGATGAACATACTTACTTCTCTTGACACTTCTCCAGGGCCTCGTCAGCCAGCTCCTTCAGGTTCACAAGCTTTTCCCCCCTATAGAAGGCATCTTTGGGAAACAACAGACATGGCATGCCTTAGAAGGACAAAGTATCTTTAACCCCTTAACACTAGTTGGCATAACATCCCTGGAACCCTTTCTGAGACAGCCTCTTGAATCTGGCTATTCCAGATTCAAAGCTGACAAAGATACAAGGAGCTCGTTACAGTCACAGTCTTCCAGCTCCCAGTCAGTTCTAGAAGACAAGAAGAAAGACAGGAAGCCTCCACCATCTATGCTAAGCAATTCCAAGTAGCAATGAGTTAGTTGGCTGAAGACAAAAGCTCCAAATTGGGGGATTTAGAGAAAAATTGAGAAAATGAGTCACCTGCTGTAACGAGAAGGCTGCAACTGGAATCCAGGATCCGTTCACATAGAGATTCTGCAGAGAAGCCAGCAAACTATAGAAGGGAAGAAAGACTGAGGGAGAAAAAGAGGCTACAGGGACTAGTGAACAAAGAAAAGAGTCACTCATGATATGTCAAGCTCTTTAATTTAGAGTCCTAGAAGAAAGTAGATAACTTAAAAGGACCGATGGTACAAACATAGTAAACTCCTTAGTAGGACATTTAAGACATTCCATCATCCAGGCTCAATCTACTTCTCCAGAGTCCCATCTCCCACCATATTCTTTTTACCAGTTCAAATGCCTACCACAATGGAGTGAAGAGCCCCAAGGCGGGCACACGCCAGCATAGCCACCACCAGCTCTGGTATCATGGGCATATAAATGGCCACTCGATCACCTTTCCGAATGCCTGCAGGAAAAGGACAAACATCATGAACTGTGATGAACCCTTTCTGCTTCTATGAGCTCCCGTCCATGTAGCTGTCCCCCACCAGCTGGCCTTTCTTGTTCTCCAGGTAACAGTTTTCTCATATTTCTTGCCCACTTCCTCTAGTCCTCAAATATCCCAAAGCAAAACCCCTCCCCAGGCCCCCACACTCACCTTGTTTGCGGAGAACATTGCTGAACTGGCATACATGGACCAGAAGCTCACTGTACGTGATCTGAGTGGTCTCTTCTGGCTCATTGCCCTCCCTGAGACACACCATAGAGAATCATTCATTAAGGAACATGATCTCTTTTCAAAAAAAACAACCAACCAACAACAACAAAAGAAAAAAACCACCCCACCTATGAACAGTCATAAAATCCATCCAGTAACACCAAAGCCTGGGAATGTCCCCTGGGTGAGCCACCTGACATCACTCCTCAAACTGACTGGTCAGATGCTCTGACCTTCCAAGATGTTTTGTATACATGATATGTCTCATTAGAAAATGTACTATCCAACTCCAAGCCTCAGTTTTTAATGGTCCACTGAGGTGGGCTAGTCATTTCTCTGTCTTTCTAGAAAAATGATATCAGAATGTGATTCTTTCTGAGTGAGGTATCACGACTGCATTAGTGTTATTTAAAGTGAAGTCTTCAGATCTCTTGCACCCAAATCACCTAAGGAAATTGTTAAAACGTAGGGCCCCAGCTTAGGACTACTGAATCAGAACCACAGGGCCCAAGGGTCCCCTGCTTCTTTATTTAGCTCTCTTTATACAGTTTGGTGTAAGGAGAACTATGCTCCATAGGGTTTTCAATGCGTGATTTTGGGGGAAGTAGGTCACCAGGTCTTTCTTCTAAAATACCTCTGGGTGGACCTGAACTTACAACTTTTTGGCTAGCAGTTGAGGGAATCCATTGTTTGCACCACCTAGAGACTAAATACATTTTATATTTCTATTTCTATTTTCTCCTTTTTCCTACACAAATGGTAGCATACTATATATATATATTATTCTGCAACTTCATATGTATAATATGCACTAAATAAACAATAAATGTCTTAAGTGCAGAGCTGGATCCTTGTGTTTTTTAAAAAAACTTTAATAATATCATTCCCTCTCAAGATATATAGAACTATACAATAGTCCACTGTTCAGATATACTGTAATTTATTTCACAAATAAATGTCTCAGTGGATGTCTTTCTTCATAGGTCATTTTATTTATAAGTGTATCTGTTGGATAAATTACTAGAAGTGGAATTGTTGGGTAAAAGGGTCTGTGCATTTTAGAAACTGATATTTTATCAGGGAAGGCCTCTCCTTGGGGAGGTGATATTTGCACTAAGGCCTGGGTAATGGGAAGTGGGCAACCATATGAATACTTAAGTAGAGTATGCTAGGCAGAGAGAACATCAGATGAAAAGGTAATGAGGTGATAAGGAGCTTGGTGTAGTCAAACAGGTGAATTAAACAAGTACAGCTAGGGCATAAGTTAGCAAGCCTTCCAGAGGGTAAGAATGAGAGGTAGATAGCAGCTAGATCACAGAGCCTTATAGGCAATTACAAGACATTTTAATTTTATCCTATGTGGTTTCTTTCTGACCTTCCTTACATACAAAAGTGAGGGAATCTTCCACGTTTTCACCATACTGCTTAAAAACCTTGAGAAATCTCTTCCTCCATCTTTTAGGAATCAGTACTACATAGCCCTAAATACTCCAGGTCTTTGTGCCTACTCTTCTTGCTTCTACTCAGCTTACTTAGGAAACTCAGAGAGAAAGAAATGTAGTATCTTGGCCAAGGTCACAAAATAATAAGTAGCAGAGACAAGAATATATCCTCAGGTCTTTTAGTTAGGACTCTTTCTCTCCTAGTGTGGGGAACAGGGACTACAAAGATGAAGTTCTTTTTGATGATGACGGTTCCATAGAACACTGTTAGTCTCTTTCTAGGTCTTGGCTCAATGAGTCAGTTCCTATTTTCTCCTTGGCTTAGCCTCCTAGAGCTGAACAGAGATAGCTCAGGCAGCTAAGTGGAAAGAAATAGGGAGAGAGGATGCTGGCAAATAGCCCTGAATACCAAGGATAGAAAAGTCATCTCCTTAACTGGCACAGGAACTTCAGAACATCTCCAGTTACCGCACAAACCACACACCAATTCACACAACTCCCCATAAATATCACACACAAGGTCAACTGTGCTATTGACATGCACAAAACCACACATATCAACATACATTTTAGGTGAAACCTGCCTATTTGCACAAATAAATATAAAAACATGCATCTAGGACTCTGACATTAATCCATCTAAAAGTACATGCAATGTCTTATGGAGCCTTTTACATGTAAAATTTGTCCCTTCAAGCGATCAAATGTTTTTCCTTTTTCTGGAATTTCCTACATTTTCCTTAATTGACTTAATACCCTGTTTTGTTTATTTGTATACTATCCATCTCTAGTACATAAACTCCATGATGGCAAAGATCCAGTCTGTCTTGTTCACTGCTACATCTCTACCACTTAGAATAAAGTTCATCCATAGAGAGTATATAGCAACAGATAAGCACAAACTCATACAAGTATAACTTACCTAAACCCACTTGCAGACACACACACACACACACCCCCCAGAGTGCACATCCTTCTCTCTGGCTAAGAGCTCAAGTTATAAATTTTTTATATAGACACCTTACTCCTTTCAGTAAGTGTCTTCTTTCTCTGATATACACACCAGGTTAGGGCTACTGACTGTTTGGGATGGGCAGAGTCAACTGTAAGATCCCAAGCCCTACCGAATGTTAAGAGCTCTATAAAAGAACACCCAATTTAATTGGATTTCAACATACACAAAAATGAAACAGGATCATTATACTATTATTAAAAAAATGCAAAATGGATTAAGAACTTAAATGTTCAAACTAAAATAATAATGGTGTTTTTTTTGTTGTTGTCATGATGTTCTCAGAACAAGCAGGAGTAATGTTGCCAGGTCTAGCTTTCAGCAATGAATTATCTAATATAATACAAAATCACAAAGAGCAAAACAAAATGTGGTTGTTGTGATGTGCCATCGAGCCACCTGCAATTCATAGTGACCCTATGTACAACAGCTCTGAAGCCTGCCTTATTGTGAGCCAATCTTATTGACTCTGACACACTTACTCCCATTACCCACGTTACTGTATCAATCCATTTTATCTGCGGTCTTCCTCTCCTGCACTGTCTTCCATCCTTCCAAGCATGATGTTGTTCTCCTATGACCCCATGTGCCCAAAGTATGTGAAACAGAGCTCCAAAATCTTAGCCTCCAAGGAGAAATTTGGCTTCACCCTCTCCAAGACAGACATATTTTCTTTCTTGGTAGTCCATGATGTTCAAGACTCTTCTTCAGCACCACAACTCAAAAGCATCAACTCTTTTGTCATCTTAGGCATTGTCCAGCTCTCTGATGCATTGCAAGTAATTGTGAAGATCATGGCCTTAATCAGGTATACCTTAGTTTCTAGACTAATATTGTTGCTTCTCAGTACTACAGAGAGGTCCCTAACACAGAAATTCATAAAAGTTTAAAACATTTGTTCATCAGGATAGTTTACAAAAAAATGGAAAGTAAGCTACAAACCAGGAGAATATCTTCAGAAACCGTATACCCAATAAGAATCTAACTAAAATATGTATCAAACACTGAAAATTGGATAACAAATAGCCAGATCATAAAATAAGCAAAGGATGTGAATATATATTTAACAAAGGAAGCATTTAAAGATCCACAAACATATGAAAAGATACTCAGCATCATTAGCCATCAGAAAGTCGCAAATAAAAAACCACAATGAGATATCATTTCACTATCAAGATAGCTGAGATTAAAAAAGAAAATAACAAAAGTTGGTAAGGATGTAGGAAAATTGGAACCCTTATCTATTGTTAGACTCTGCAAAATTATATAGCTGCTATAGAAAATATTGTGGTAGTTCTTTTAAAAAACCAAAACAAAACTACCATTTGGTACAACCACTGTGGAAGGCAGTGTGGCGCTTTCTCAAAAAGTTGCAAATAGAGATACCATTTGACCCAGCAATTCCACTACTGGGAATATACCCTAAAGAGACCATAACTGACATCCATATGCACACCCATGTTTTTCGCGGCTTTGTTCACAATAGCAAGGAGTTGGAAACAACCCAGGTGCCCAACAACAAACGAATAGATAGAGAAGCTGTGGTATATTCACACATGGAATACTATGCTGCATTGAAAAACAAGGAACTCACGCAATATTATTCAAAATTCAAAATAATTATTTCAATATTATTCAAAATATTATTCATAATGTCCCTGGAGGACATTATGCTGAGTGAAATATCTCAGTCGCAAAAGGACAAATACTGCATGGTGCCATGGCTGTAAAATGGGACTGACATCAGGGTTGGGGTAAGACTGAGAAAAACTGGATAAACTGCATATACTGCATTGAAACAGATGAGGGAAAGAATAATTTAAAATCAATGTATGATAGGGTATTATGGTTATCACAAGAGTCCACAATTAAGGTTGGAGTGTACTTGGGGCAGTGGGAGGGGTGCGGGGAGATTGTATATCAAAGAAAGAATTTTTCTTTCACTTTTCAAAGAGAGGAGTGAACTGGGTAGGGGGGGTGCTAGGGCTGGGCAGGGAGAAATGTGCAACAATGAATGAATGGAAATCCAAAATCTCCATAAATGTTCATTAAAATTATTAAGATAAAATCTAAAAAAAAAAAACCCCAAACCAAAAAACAACTACCATTTGACCTAGCAATTCCACTCTTAAGTACCCATCCAAAAGAGTTTAAAGCAGATGCTTAAAAAGAGATGCCGATACAAGTATTCATTACAATTGACAATAGCCCAAATGTGGGAACAAGCCAAATTCCCAGCAAAAGATTGATGAATAAACAAAAATGTTGTACATATATAAAATGGACAATTATACTACTTTGTCTGTAGGAGAAATGAAGTTTTGATAGATATTACAATATGGAACGATCTTGACGATATTATGTTGAGTGAAATAAACCAATTACAAAATTGTATGGCTTCATTTATATAACTAAGAAGAAAAAAATACATGTATAGCAACCAAAGTATATTAGTTGTTTTATTAGTTTATTACAAGGTCAGGAGGAAGGGGAGAAGGAGAGATTGATTAATGGTGATGGAGAATTGATGCCTTTGAGATGTGGTTTTGGAAGAGCAAGTCCAGGACTTTGGACCAAA